ACACATAAATAGGAATATAACTTTATCCTATGAAATAGTATTGCTCCTTCTACTAAGTACAGAGGTTTGCTCCATCCAAAATGCTATTCCTGATTACAACACATGAAAGAAGTACAAACAACTGTTAATTAGTAGGCAAGGTGAGGAATTCTGATGAAAGCTTTCACCAACATTATCCTGTTTTCCTTTCTGCCTGAAAGATGCTCATGTTATGATTTTTCAACTACAGAAGTTTAGCTGAAGGGAATGAAACACACCACAGTGAAGGTTCCTCAGGGTTCTCTCTCTAATGGTGTGATGGTACATGGAGCTTCACAGCAAGTTCTCGAAGAAGAAGAAAGTAAACAAAGAAACTAAAAATTGTGCTTTAAATTAAATCCAAGCCATCCTTGCACAACTATTCATCAAAAGGAGATGTGCATGTCGGATTTTGCCCGGTTCAAAATTTGATATTTGAATATTTGATATTTAATCCTTGTGATACAAACTCTAGGAATGCAAGGAATTGTTGGTGCTCTCTCTAGTCTCCAATGGGATTTGCTTAAAAACTCTTCCAGGAAGATTACTAAGCTATTTGTTCTGCTTTTTTCTAGGACCTTATTTAATGTTAATGACTCCCAGATAGTAGTTATTCAACCTCTTATAAAAAGAAAAATTTTGCTCACTTATTCAGCTCTGTAGCTCTAGACAAACTATGAGATTATATCATTTGTCAGACTGCAGCTTGGGCTAGAACTTTGATTTCCAAGGTTGGAATAGAAAATTAACGTTCCCTATAGATTCTTGGGTTTAAAAAAAAAGTGATTCTGAAGTCTCAATCTTAAAAATACATTCTTACGCTCACTATTATAAATTTAATTTATAATATATAAATATGTAATTTGTATACATATTGCAAATACTCACTCTTGGATACTCATGTTCATAGCACATAATATTCTACAAATTCATTCATGAATAAAAAAATGTTTAAATTTTTATTAAAATAGGATTTTCCAAACTTAGCCGAATGCTCTTACATCTAGTACATACATTAACAGTCCTAAACTCAAATTAAGTTCTAGCCCAAACTATCACCAAATAGCCATTAAATAATATCTAGGACTTTCACATTTAGACTTTACATGAATCAGCAACTATTATAATGGCAGCAGCAAAGGGATATTGATAAAGAAATGTTTCAAATGTTTGAATATACAATTCGGTCTGCTAAATTTCTGGGCATTGAAATGCAATGCAATTTAGTTGATTAAAAGTATCTTGAATTAGAAGAAAAACTAAGGCTTGTCTCTCATTTTTCCTCCTACATTATCAGGAAAAATACAAAGAATTATTCTAATTTCAAGTAAAGCCCATGAAGTAGGAATCAAGACTCAAGACTGGAATAAAAAGGAATTTTCAGTATGCCCTTTGATAAGCTAAACTGGTTCTTTTATTTAACCATTAAAATCTAAAATGATGGAAAACAGTTTCCAAAAAAAGAAAGTTTTAAGATTGAGTCTGTCAGAGGTTAAGACAAGTGGATTTAGAAAAGATGAAGAAGAAAAACATTCCAGAATCTAGAGAAGTAATGTAACAGTGGCTGAAGACACTGTCGGTGGCTTAGATTGCCTTCTCCTCATCTTCTCCAGCATGAAAGAACATAAAGTACACAATATAAATATTATATCATACAGATGTTGACAAACTTAATTTTCATTACTATTCATCAGAAGAAATGTAAGGAAAACATATAGATTCCTACCAAATGTTTAACACTATTAAACAGTGTTTAGTTTTCAAGCACTGGTGTCTCTATTCCACAAAATTAAATGTTATAATAACTTTATGATCAAGAACTTGTTACTTTTTGAGTTTTGAAGATACAAAGATAAGCCGAACTATGTTTTTAATACATTAAACATACACTCCTTTTTACATACATTTAAAAATGATATGAACATTTTTCATGACATGAATCTAGATTTTTTATTAAAATTTTGCTTCATTTCTTTTTAAAACAAAATGAGTATAATAACTTGGTCATATTAAAACCTTTACTTTTGCCTATTTGGAATAAGTTGCAATGGTTTAAGTTGGTTCGCCAGACAACAAGGGAATGTCTGTCACCACATGTTGTCCATAATTTTCCTATCTTTAATTTTCATTTCAAAAATCAGTTTTGCTAAAGGAAATGGCAAGAGTAGATTTAATGTAAAGTTAATGGTAACAGAATAAAGCATACTTACGAAATAGCTATTAGTAAATTTTTAACATTTTTCCAATCATAAATGCAAGCATATTTTAATCAACCAATATGTCTCCATAACTACTGAGTACCAACTAGGGCATGTCATGGTGGGAGAAACCAGCATCAGACATGTACTGCAGCCTTTACAAATGCCAAGGGCCACTCCACACATCCTTTGGAAAACTCCCTTCATGGCAAACAAGTGTGTCTAAAGAACATTTGAAGATGGACAAGAACAACTGTGGGGCATTTTATTTTGCAAATTAAAAAAAAGCAATTTTTTAAGAACAAAGGGACTGTTTTTAGCTTAGCAAATTTATAAAGATAGTACTGTACTGCCCTCGTTTTTTCATTGTAGTTAGAAGTCTTCTTCCTACAATGGCTTATTGTGCACATTACAAAGTCTTCAGGGTCTTCAGAATTAAAGTGACAGAGTTTTTTTAAGCACACTTGAGAATGGATCATTCTTCCTTACACTTAATATAATATGCCTTTGCAGACTTCTCCAATAATTTTAGTCATCTTGACAAAAGAAAATCACCAAGACAATACAATGATTTTACAAAGAAAAAGAATGACAGTTTCCCTTCTACTTTTCAAAAATGTTTTATAATATGATTTGAGATCAGCTTTATTCAATAGGCTGAAAGAGGAGTCAATTCTTACAAAGTGACACTCTACAATAAAGAACACCTACACTTCTGAACAACACATCCATTCCCACATGTTCACAATGTTATTATTATTGCCATTAGAATCTTTTCCAGAATAATTTTCTGACAGGCAAAATGTGGCTTTGTTTAGAATAAACTGACAATGTCAGTAAAACAAGGACTAAAACATAAAAGGTTGAGAGCTTTGTTTTTATTCTCACTTCTACAATTCCGGTGATAGTCCCTATTCTTTCTTGCTTTCACTAATGAGACTGGTATTCTGCCTATCAATGGTTCACTTACTCAACAATTATTTAGATTGTGCCCCTATTATGCACCAACATAGTACATGGTTACTAAGTGCTGATTATAGTAGCACCTATAAGGTCCCTGGCCTCATATTATAGACAGATTTAGACAATTCACTCCATAAATAAATATGTAACAACATATGAGTACAATGAAAGAACAATATTGGTATCAAGAGAGAAAAACAGTAAGACCTGATTTAGACTGAAATTCAACAATTTAGTCTGGGACATGAAACATGACAAAGAATTTGCTAGATGAAGTGTTAGAAGAAGAGCACTCTAGAGGATATGATTTGTATGAAGGTCTTGGGCTTTTCATTCCCATTTCTAAACAACAGTGTGTTCAAGTGCAAGAAGGAGAAACAGATGATACCAGCTGAGGCTGGAGTGGTTAGACATCAGATAATGAACAAGACCTGTTGTTCACGTGAGGGAATTCTGATTTTTCTCCTCTGAGCTGTGGGACGTTACTGAAGGAGCTGAAGTAACATGCTTTATATAAAGATGATATTGTCCATTGCCTGAAGAATATAGCTTAGGGTTGGTGGGTGAAGGATTCTCAGAGATGAAACTTTTCAGCTGATTTTCCAGCCTTCCTTAAAATGACCCTGTGATCTCCATTAATTCCTTTTCACATGCACAGTGCCCAGCCACAAAGCACATGTGGTCATTTGCAAACTTACTTTCCTACCTCAGTGGTTTTGGTTTGGGCTATAGTTTTGTTTCTCTCTTCCCCCACTTCTTTACTAGTTAAAACTACTACATACTAAAAAAGATCCACATGATTCACAGTTTAGTGCCTCCTAGAAGAATTTTCACTCTTTACCCCCTATACCACACAGTATTAAAGTTTGCTGAGCAAGAAGAGTCTAACTGATTTTGGCTTTCATTGCTCAGCTTCAAAGTAATTTATCTCCCGAAATTACTCAATATGCAGCTCCCACCCTCAGAGAGACACACCCAAATTGTGGGCTGAAAACCATTGATTAAGAGTTCTTTTACATTTTCAATGAAATGCAGTTTGATTTAAAAGACAATTCTCAAGTACATTTTATGCTGCTAATATAAATCATATTTGCACAATACACACGTATTAACAAAAATTTCAGTTAGCTAATTTTTCTACTTCTATACTTACTAGTCTCCTTCTATTTGTGGCAAAAATGCATGGGTAAGTCTGATGAAATTTATTAACTCAACAGACTTTAAGAATGAAAAAAGATTTGACTCTGAATTCAGAGTCAAATAACACCCAATTTTTAAAATTCCATGCTTCCCCAAAGCTGCACTGGAATTGAGTCTGTTTTATCTAGAAAGCATAACTAAATTGACTCAGACACAAAGTTTCATACATTACACTTATAGTCATTGTTTTTTAACTGTACCTACTTCCTACAGGAATTATGACTTCCTTTAAATGGGAACTTTCAGTATCTGACACTTGCAAACTGCTTAAAAGTTTGGCTCCTCCCTGAAATATCTCACAGAGTGGAGCCAACCGATCTAAAGGAATCAGAACTTGTGGCTCTGCTGCAATGCAACCAATTAAAGTAGACAGACCATGATCATTCACCTACATTAACTGTGGGACGAAAACATCCAAGAAGTATGTAAAATAAAGAATTTTTGTAACAACTTTAATAAGATTTGATTTGTATGTTATCTTAAAAGCATTTTTACCATGATTATCGCATGAAGAAAACATACTCTCTCTTGGCTCAATTATAAAATTTTCACTAAATGAAACGTATGAAATGAGTGGATATTTTACTCTCATGTCTCTGAAGGCACATCCTCAGCACTCACCTTGATCTCTTTCATGCCATGTTCGACTTCCAGCAGCTGGTGAATTCGGAGAGGGATAAAAGTCTCCTGTAGGACTTGGTTCCATATTTTCATCTATAGATATAGTTTTGGGTCTTTTGCTGTCAAAATATGACAATAGTTATGTTAGTGGGATTTCCACGAACACAAGTAATTTAAAATCCCATAATCATTTTTGAAAGAATGGAGAGTATTTAAATAGCAACAGGAATAGAAAATGTTTTTAGTTGTCTATTCCATTTATTATTTTATTATTTAAATACCTGCCTAAAAAATGGTAATTATTATATTTACCTTCTGAAATGTATTTACAAAGAAATATCAGTAATAAAAGGTGAATTCTCAATGTGATACATGGACTAATTTGAAAATTGTTATTAAGCTTGTAACTGATTCTTACAATAATTATTAATATTAATAATATTCATTTGTTAGTACATGCTATTAGCAATGTAATCCCTTTAATTGAAAGATAAGATATTGGAATAGAGTCAGACTAGCCCTAGTACTAGACCTTGACTAGGCCACTTACTACTTCTTAATAGTTAATTCACTGACCTTTCTAAACTGACTTTAATCATCTGTAAAATGGAAATAATAAAATCTAGTTCAAAGGGGAGTGATTAAGGGGATTAAGTGAGTTATTAAGTGTAAAGTTCCTAGTTAAGTAGCTGGCATTTAAAAGATACTAATTAAATAGTAATTATTAGTAGTAACCCTATAATTAATAAGAAAAAATATTTTGCAATACTTTACTGATTATAAACTATTTCATATATTATGCTTTACACCTTTTCCTTACAAATCAGACCCTTTACTCTTAAAATCAACCATGAAAAACAAGCCATTGCCAAATTCAATCCAAATGGTATACTTTTTTTTTTTTTAAAAGATTTTTGTTTTATTTATTTATTTATACAAGCACTGGGTACAGGCAGAAGCACGGGAGGGTGAGAGAATTCACCAGAGCCAGAGCGAGGAGCAGAGCAGGCAGAAGGACCGAAGTACACTGCTGAGGGGAGCAGCGGGCGGCAGGAGAGGTCTGTGCACCATGTGGGACCCTCCTCCGGTGGCCGGGGAGCAGCCGGGGATCGAACAGGCGCTGCAGAAGCTGCGGGCAGCTTCACAACCCAGCGCTCAACTGCTGCACCACCAGGGAGGCCCAAATGGTATACTTTTAAAATGAAACATTTTAATAGAGAAAACACGACTCACATCAATTACAGAGAATAAAAATACTGTACTATGGCACATGCTGCCCTCACATATCCCTACTAATATCTGCTAAATAATTAACTATCAGTATGAGAAGAGTATTTTTTTCTTTCATTAAGAATCCTTATCCAGCCTCCCCAGTGGCACAGCGGTTGAGAACTAGGCTGCGAAGCTGCCTGCAGCCTCCGCAGCGCCGGTTCAATCCCTGGCTGGCCTGCAAGGGTCCCACAAGGTGCGCAGACTTCTCTTGCCATGCCTGCTGCTCCCCTCAGCAGTGTACTTCGTCAGTCTGCCTGTTCTGCTCCCTGCTGTGGATCCGGTGAATTCTCTCACCCTCCCGCACTTCTGACTGTACCCAGTGCTTGTATAAATAAATAAATAAATCTTTAAAAAAAAAAAAGAATTTTTATTCAGGTAAAAACTTTTTAAAAAATTGTAAAGTAATTTTATGCAGTGATAACAAACATCATGTCACAGGATTTTGGAGTTGGGAATGACCTTCGAAACCACACATATAAACTGGCCCTACCTTTTCTTAAAAATGGGGAGACAAGTTTGGGAAAACTCAGTGAATTGCCCAGGAAAAGTTAATGCCAGTAATCCAATACAAAATAAAGACTTCTGACTTCCAAGTCTGTTGTTTTTCTGCTGTATTGTGTTTTCAAACCCTGAAAGTATATGTACATCTGAATATATTCATAGATACACTAGGAATTAATATTTGACTCACAACTCCCAGAGCATTTTCATGATGTAGAAGATAGCAATTTCTTCCACACTAAATAGTCAGAGTAAATTATAATTCTTTAGTCTCTTCCAATGATATCCAGAGTTAGAACATATACATTTTTTAAATTTTCCTTTAATTTACTTCCCACTTTTGTGAGTCAGTGATATTTATTTATGGATATTTACTTATGGATATTTGTTTATGGATATTTACTTATTTTCTATATTTTCTATATTTTCTTGAAATGAGAAAGTTAATTCTCATAAGGATGTAACTGAGAAATAATTTTATACCTTGTTTATTCTGAATGACATAATCTCTGAAACTGAATGAATATTAGGAAAGATCTGTGCTGATAACATATTGATCCATGAGGCAAATAGTAAATTACTACTCATTTTAAATTCTGAAAACATAGAGCATGTTTAAGATCTCAGCATATCACAATTTTAGTAGTAATAAGGCAAATTATCTTGGTTTGTAATCTAACTACATGAAAAAAGTTTGACTATAAATGATATATAATTGAACTTAGTTTATAAACATACAAATATATATCATTTCATAATTAATTTTTTTAATTTTTATTTATTTATGCATACAAGAACCAGGGTATAGGCCAAGGGTGCGGGGTGGGGGTATGGGGGTGAGAGGATTCACCAGAGATAGAGTGGGGAGCAAAACAGGTGGTGCTACTGAAATACACTACTGAGGGGAGCAGCAGGTGAGACAGGAGAAGTCTGCTGCGCCATGAGAGTTAGCTCCATGGCTGGGGATCAAACTCATACTGCAGTGGCTGGTGACAGCTTGATACTTTAACACCTGTACCACCAGGGAGGCCCCTCATAATTAATCTAAATGCAATTAATTTTAATCTTTGAGAACAGTGTAAGAAAAATTATTCAGATATTATTTTATTTTAAAAGTTGACACTATAAAATACAAGTTTTGTTCTAAAATGCATAGACTCTTATATTTGATCATTGGTAAATTTAATAGTCCAGAAATGAGATGGGTCTTCACATATTAAAAAAGCCAACTCAAAAAAAAAAACACAAGAGAAAATATTTATTCATTTTGCTTTCTCATGAGCTGAGTTCTCTTCTATCATTCTATAATAGTGGAACATATCACCATAAAATTTTATGCCCAACCAAATTTCCAAGCTATTTATCCCTTATTTAAATAGGAAATCTTTTTTAAAACTCTGATGGGACTGAAAATAAGAACCAGAAGGTAAAGAGAAAAATGACAATGTCTAGAGAGAACCAAAGAGCAAAGTAACTTCACTTTATCTCCTTTTCCAACAAAAGCGGAAACCAAATATCAAAGCAGATGATACTTTCATTGATAACTAAGGGTTAACTAAAGTACTCAGAGAATGTTGACTAACTGAGGAATTTGGCAAACTGTAGCTTAGAACAAGTCCTTTTACTTTTAAAGTTAAGTAAATGATGCATTTTAGATTTCATGGTTCATTATCCCATACTCAGATGTCTTTTACAGGTAAATGTTACCAGTATGGATCAATAATAAAGCAGGGCCCATTGCCATGATAACATCATTGTAAAAGTAGTCAAAAGAATTAGCTTGTAGAATTAAAATATTTCATAGCACATCATTATATTACATAGGACAAAACATAGAACAAAAATCATATTAATATATTTTTATAGTTCCCTTATTACCCCTAGTAAGATTTTTTGAGTGCTCTGAACAGCTACAGCTAACATATATATAAAAGATATATATATATTAGATGTAATTGTATATATGTATATATGTGTGTGTGAGCAGATACACATATATACATAGCCTGTAGAGATTAAAAATCTGTGTAAAATCAGCAAAAACTCTGGAACTCTTTACTTTGTTGCCCCTATCTCTGTACTTGCCTACCTACCTACCTATCTGGTTACCTACCTACCTACATATTTACATATCTGCTTAGAGCAAAAGCAGCTCATCTTTCAGTTAGTTACCTGCTTGGTGGAGAAGACAGCGACCTCTGAAGATTGACCCCCGAGTTCATGTCATGATAGTATGGTTGGCTCGGAATTTCTCCAATTGGGAAGTTGACTCCAGTTCCCTGGGTTATGGGTGCTGAGGAAAAAAACAAAAAAAAACAACATCCGAATGACACTTATACTTGTCATCTTCATTCAAATGCAAAAATCTGGTATTTGCCTGTAGGCAAGAATGTGGACAACACTTCAACTTAAAGAGTTTAAAGTCTACTATATACCAGGCAGGACTTGAAAACATACTCCTGATGCCAATGGTAAAGTTCTGGAACTCAAGGCCCTCAGCTTATAACGATGAGTTACCACTTCCCTACTCCCACTCCCAAACTGTCTCACTCACTCCTTTCCATTAGTTATAACTACACCTGTACCTCACTAGTCTATAGATGCTTCAGAGGAAATCAAGTTTCCTATTGCTCAGCACTAAGCAAAAGGCTTTCTACTAAGCCAGCTCTCACAGCCCAAACAGCTATTAAATAAATAAATATAGAACTGTTTCACAAAAGAATACCAAGATTGCTATTCTATAAATAACAGCGACACTGTTAGAATGGATTAGATATCATGAGATGATCACTGAGTAGTATTCCATCGGGTAAATATACCACAACTTTTAGCCCATTCATCTTCATTTAGGTTGTTTCTGTATCTCAGCTATTGTAAATAGTGCTGCAGTAAACACAGGCGTGGAGGCTTCCTTTCGAATGGGTGTTCTTTGTGTTCTTTGGGTAGAAAAGACAAATTCATGACATTTGCAGCAACATGGGCGGAGCTGGAGGGGATTATGCTAAGCAAAATAAGTCAGAAGGAAAAAAAAATACCAGATGTTTCACTTATAGGTGGAATATAGAGAAACAGAAGAAAAGGTCAAGAAAAAGACAAACTTGCGAGCTGACCACAGATTTGAGCATAAAGTAAGTTATGGAGAGGGAGGGGGTTAAGACAGGGGAGTGAACAGCACAAGGGACTGTGGTGGTGTGGTGGTGGGAGAACTAGGTGGACTACACATGAGGGGAGAAACCATTTACTTTACAAAAATGAACAGTGATGTAAGAAATGAAATAAATTTAGAGAAAAAATGATATGTAACTATGTAAATAATTATTATATCATGGAAGGTAAATAAGTGGAATATATGAAATAAGAACCAAAGTGTTTTTCAAAATGCATATTCAGGTTTCATATAAAAATGGAAAATGTGGCTTTTCTTAATAACTATATTTTGTTTGAAAAAGGGTTTCGACAAAACTTTATAAACCATTTAAAACATGCCTATGGAGTTTTATAGTTGAAGGTAGTTTTTGCAAATCAAGAAATATTTTTGAATGTGCCAATATGTACTATGATGAGATTTCCATATATAAGTATTCGTTTTTGTACAACAGATTACATCTGTTCAAATTTTTAAAATTTGTTTCTGGACATAAATCTGAGTCAGTACATTGCATTATAACAAAGTATTGGGAAGGAGAAACATTTAGCCTAATTCTCTGCGCCACTTCTGAGTTACGTGCCTCAGTTTCTTAAACTACAAAATGAGGGTAATAATAACCTACCACATGAGATTAGTTTGAGAAGGAAATGAGGTAAGGAGTGATAAAAGTCCAGCACCGTGACTCACATACAATAGTTTTCAAAAAATGTGAAATGCCCTTCCTCCTCTGCTTTATCCCCAAATTCATCCCCTGGTGGACTGGAATGGTTAGTAAAGCTGAAACAGTTCAAAAGCATGCTTAAAGCAAAGACCTAGTTGCTAAAGTTTGTACATTCAGCAAATGATCGGTTATGTCCATTGCAGGCAAGTATTACAAAGGATATAAGACTGCCCCAGCCCTTTATAAAACATATTGGGCAACAGAAAAGAAAACATTCATGTAAAAACATAGAAAAACAGCATAGAGCAGATTATAATCAGACAGCTCAAACAAATAACATGATCAATGCTGTGGGATTTCAATTTAAGTAGAATACAATATAAGCGTGAAAGATCCAAGCAATCTATGCAAAAGCCATAGCTGTCCCTGGATTTTGGAGAATAAGTATTCATGGGAGATTATTCTACAGGGGCACAGTCATGGACAGAGTTAATATGCAAGCTGGGAGCCAGGGAGGTCGTGTCAAAGTACAGTGCTTAAGAATTTCTATTCCTTCACATTTCTATTTCTATTAGGCCTTCAAAAGCCTTAATGAAAGAAAGAAAGTGTGTCCTGGGCTGTGGCAACAAAATTTTAGAGTTTCTGAGATACATTGAAGATAAAATCCCAGAGGAGCTTCAGATTTTCAAGGTATTTTCGTACCCATAATTTCAAAAAAAATTTTAAATGTGTTCACCATCAGTTGAATTCTATTTTAATATCAAGCAGTCCAAGATTAACTTAAAATAAGAAAATGATTTATTGTAGGGAAGTAATCAAGAAATATACAACCAACAGCTCTCTTTCCTATATTAACAATTAAATAAATCAATATATACGTGAGGAGTTTTAGCTCAGAACTTGTAGATCCCCTGCTTTCTTTTAGATTTTTCATTTTACGTAAAATACTTTAAACTCGTTTAAACAGAAAATATTTGTATTCAATGTGTAACTATGTCTAATGACTTAAATTCTTTGAACAGCTAAAATGTAGTTATTTGTTGTAGCTGAGGTACACTGGAGGTTAAAAAAATGCAAAGTAAGAAATCCCACTGCAACCACATGCTTTAAAGTTTATTATTAGAATCATGTTCTATGTGACATTGGAAAGAGGTTATGTGCTAGAAGGAGATATTTGAGGGGCTCAGTGAAAGTAAGCAATCTGTCTGGCTTCCAACAACAGCAATGGATATAATTCAAAGAACTGAGCTATTAACAGGAAACTAACAAATTTTATCTTATATAAACTATTTGCAATTTATTAAGCTTATGCAATATTTAAGCAAAGATTTGTAGCTTCTATTTCATACAGGGGGTTTAAGAGTCAACAAGATGCTTGACCATAAACAGACTAGGTGTAATTTATGCAAAATGATAAAACAAATCTTTAGAAATTTTATTTTTTCTTAATTTTGTTCCAGAGAAATATCCCAGAGTATCAAGACAGCAATAAAAATGATCTGCCTGCAGATTTATACATGAATATTGTCCAAATTGAGTGTGCATTCTGACATTAAATAGGAGCTTACAAAAGAAAGCAGTTTAATAATAAACTTGGCCAAATTCTAAAACAGTACACAAAAATTATTTTAATAACAAAGAGAGCACGTGAGAAGAGCAAGTCCTGGACAGACATTCCTGATTAAAAGCCTCAGGAAGAACTTGCATCAGATACAAACATCAGTGTTAGCACCTCTTCCAGGGAGCTGCAAGAAGCCTGAAAGCTGCAAATCATGTTTAAGAGGTTGCCAATATCCTCTTAGAAATGAAGCTCCAAAGCACCTCAGATTCTAAAGGTTAGAGGCCAACCCTTAATCTCTCCTATTGTTCTCCTCACTCCAAAAGCTGATCCTAAATCAACTTTTAGGATGGAGATAATATCACTCAACAAAAAGATCACTATCCTAAAACTGAATAGCTTCATTAGCTACAGTCAACAAACGCATTAGAGGGTCAAATGATAATAAAACCCTAGAGGACAGAAACCATTAATGTACCATAAACTTTCCACAGTCAGAATCTATGATATACAGCATGAGGGCTGTGCTGTAGTTTATGTTTACTTAGCAAACCTTTATTTCATAAACAATGAAGTTCAATTGTGTAAATAAGATTATAATGTGGATTTATTAAAACACTTAGGAGAATAACTTCTCAAGCGTTTCAGAGACACCTATTTACATACGGAGTAGAAAATAAATGTTTGCTGAATAAATTAACTAATGAATGAATATAGATAATTAATGTACTAATTACAAATCAGTAATGTTTGTTATAACAGATAACTTAAAAACCTCTAAGAGATGAGAGTATAAATTAAGGAAGAATGAAGTATATTAAATTTATCTTATTTCTGAATGTTACAAAAAAGTATTTTAATCTATTTGTTATGATTCAAATTCAGATTTTTCAAAATATCATTCTGTGCTTTTTAAGACACTAATGTGACTCTCCTACAGTGCCAAGCATAACATGTGACCTCTAATGAGATACTAATAATATTTTCTGACAGAACACTTCCTACTATCATTCTTAAAAGAAGGATATATCTAGAAAAATATATCATAAGGCTTCAAAAAGTACAAATTTTAATCATTTGATAAAATCTGATAACCGTAGCAGCATCACCTTCTCTCTGCTAGAGAACGGTGTGGAGAACATTTCCCTCACACACACACACACCCCAACACATACACATAACTTCAAATAGCCCCTTTCTTATATGATGCAAGAAATCAAGCATATTTCTTCCAAATTAAAAACAGACAAAACACTTTGAAATGTAAAAGACCTTCATACACCACATATTGACTAGGAGAATCACAGAAGATTCACAGCCTTGGTCAAAAGAGTAGACCATCAGAATCCTCTTGCCCAACAAATACAAACCCTGGATGCACTAGGATACAGGATATTAGATTCTGTCCTATAGTGTCCCCAAGGAAATATACCCATAATAGAGGTGTTTCTGGCAGACACTTACGCACTGCAGAGTTAGGACAGAAAGGATAACCTTACTGGAGTTGTTTGTATACAACTCCCTGAGATACATGCTGTTTGCACTGGCCGCTTTAGAAACCTGAACTACTTGACAAATTACGGTTCAAAAGACACAGTCATCTAGTAGTTGAAGATTCCTATAAGACTCTGGTGCATTTCCTACACTTATCCTCAGAAACTGGCTCTGCTTTGTTCTTTTTGAATCATCATAATTCTTGCTCCTGACCTGTGGATTTGACCCAAATGAAAAACATGACTTAAACAAGGACAAGAGTGCTACTATATCAACTAAATAACATCATTCCAAACTGTGACACTCTCTGTCAAAATGTCAGTGAAAACACAGCCTTCAAAGTTACATAAGTAAGTTGAAACAGAGAAGAGAGGAAGGAAGAAATGAGTCACCTGCTTTAACAAATTGAGTGTTTTAAGAGATACATCTTAGATTTATTTCCACACGTTAGTAGTAAGTAAAAGGGTTGATCAAGGAAACCTCCCCATTTAGGTAGCTGGCCAGGTGAACATCCGGGCTACCAAGAATGGTGTGTCAGGTGAAATGGCCAGTTAAAACAATCGGACATTGTTTTGGACAACAATGCTTTCTATCTATATCCAACTACAATCTGCAAAGTTAATTTCTGCATCCCTTTACACTCTGCATGCTAGTGTGTATATCCTGTACATCTCCAAGTCCCCAACAAAATGTTAGTAAAATGAAAAAGCACTTATCTACAGGAAACTTATGTGGGTTATCATAACAACACAGAGTACATTTAATTAATCACACTTCCTTTGATATAAATGACCATCTATGGTCATAAAGAAAACAGTGAGTTAAGCGAAGACCAGTCAGAACAGTCAAAAAATTGTTTTTGCACGACAAAAAAGATTTGATAATTTTAATGCAAATATTTTAGAAACTCAGACTATATATATGTATGTATGATTTGAGCAAATGGTCTGAGAATTTAAAACGCAAACTCTCCTGGCATGCGATTACTCTTTAAATTGTATTTCAGGTAAAAAAAACAAAATATTTTAAATCATACTGTATAATAATAAGAAAACAATTTACTTACTTCTGGATACCCTCACAAGTTCTGATACATTGAAGACTCCAGATTTTACAAAGCTATCCTCAAGGTATCCTGAAAATAAACATCAAGAGGAAAAAGATTAATATAAGCAGGAAGCAAATAAATGATTAAACACTAGAATTTGTTCAAGTGTTTTTCAAAGCAAGGTTAAAACAAAAACCAAGTGTGCTTACAACAAAGACAAGTAAAAGCAAAACTTGTGAATGCAAGCTAGGTCTGTTTAAGCAAAAGTAAAAAAGTTTAGATACTAGACATTCTCCTAGAAAAATTTTTTCTTAACTTTCTGAATGTGCAGGGCAATTGGCATGGTTTTATTTGCCATGACCCACATACAGAGAATGAAGGTTCTGGGGTTCTTGTTGAGTGTGTTCAGCTCCAAAGCACCTGGAGACTAAAGTCCACCTATTTAAAAAAAAAAAGAAAAAAGAAAGAAAGAAAAAAAGGAAAAGGAAAACCACAACCACAATTAGCACCTGTTGGAATTACTTCAAAGATCTCTTGAAACCACTGTTCTTTCACAAATCCTTCCCTGATTAAAGAAAAGTGAGTTGCTGTTAGCAGCACTCCCACCCTTGTTCCAAGGTCATGAACCACACGAAAGAATTTATACATACAGCAAATACTCTGCGTGGACATATTTCCACGCATGTACACCTCACATGACTTCACTGCTTTCATGCCCTTGCCACGGCACCCTTGAATTTCCTTTGCTTTAAGAACTGGACATATTTTCTGACATATGGCGGTAAACCCAGGTCTCCAGGAATGCCCCATGATCCCTCCTTAGCCTCTAGGTACAAGAACCCTGATGACTGTGCCACAAAGGTCAGAAGCCTGGGTAGGTCAGACCTGTGTGGTAGTTGGTTTACCTGCATCTAGTACTAGAGATGGGAATGCCCACAGACACCCAGTCAAGTCGCCAAGTTCTCATCTGTGAGAAGATTTAACGAGAGTGAAGGGGAGAGAACTTCCATACGAAGGTGAGATATGGTCACTCTCTGTGTCCCAAGAAGAAAATAAGAAGAGTCTGAAACTCCTTAGACTTGGAATACTTCCAGGAAAAAAAAACAAGTGTAGATTCCAAGAACTAGCAATTTAATAAAATTTGACATAACATTTTAGGGCTGACCAAAGGATTAGATTCAGTGAGGGACGAGGCAAGGGTTTAATAGCAGCAGGGAGCACTCAAGTCTAAGAGCTGGGACTTGACTCCCCACTGGCCTCCCAGTGTAGACTCTTGGCCACATTAGTGGACACTGTGTGCCTCCAGTTCCTCATTTATAAGTTAGAATTAATGAAATTTCCTACCTCAGAGTTGTGAGGAAAAATGAGATAAAAACATAAAACCAGTAGAAGGCACAGGTTAAATGTTAATAATAAATCAAAATTGGCCAGTAGAGTCAACAATCAGTCATACACTGAATTGCGAACACTGGATTCCAGGCAGTCTCAAATTATTCATAAATCTTCATTTAGAGTATCACCAGAACAAAATTGCTTTTACCTACTAATAGGATGAACAGACAGAAAATCCTTGAATTAGCTTAAATGTTTCACTGTTGCAAATGGAGATGTCACATATATCTGAGTGTTTTTATATCCACCCATCCAACTTCTTTAGAAGCAGATGAAATGAGTGAATGAATCAACAGTGAACATTTCAATATATTTATATAAATTATATATATAGTTATATATATAATTTCATACAGATTATTACAACATGTGTAATATATAACAACATTTAAATACATAAATATCATCTGAAATTCATTTCTTTATTATTCCAACAAGTAGCCAGGGCATCATTTGCTTCTACATCATGCCCACGTAGTGTATGGACAAACAGAAGTCAAACCACAAGTGAGGGAGGCGCCACCTCAAGCTCCCTTTATCAGTGTGAAGACTGTAAGGCAGTCACACAGAGCCAAATACAAGAATTATTTCAGAGAAAAGGGAAGGCAACTCAGAGAACAACAGCCTGTTTCTCCCCCTTTCACCCCCAGTTCCCCAAGTTCTAAGGAATTTGATTCTCTAAGGAAGATTAATGAATTATTTTACTACAACGATGAAAAAGGAAGTATGTCAGAACTTTGGCACCATTACACAAAACACAACACCACTGATTCCACTGGACTGCACTCTGGCATGGAGAATGACAAAGGGCAGACCCCAAAAAGGAGTGATTATGCCTTCTGATAAAGACTCAGTGGGAGCTGGGGTTGATGAAAATCGGGCAATGGGACAGCCTGGAAGAAGCACCTGAAATCGACAGCTGCCACCTTCATGCATCCTTGCACACAGCACAGACTTTGCAATGGACGGGCATTACCCAAAATGGGGAGGGGTAGAGAAAAGAAAGAGTGGATGACACTGTACTTAGCTGCTTAATAGTGCTTGTTTACAAGCACACAAAAGACAATACTTAAGGACGCTGGTAAAATATTTGGGGGAGAATCTTGCAGGGTCAGGAGTCCTGTGATTATCGTAAGATGAGATTCAGCAAAATCAGGTTATTGATGTTAACTGTACCCCATCAGTAACCCCAGGCTGTCGGAGTCTTCCAGTACTACATACCACTGCACATTTATTTATTTATTTTTTTTATTTATTTATTTTTTTTTAAATAGAGGCATGCTTTATTTATTTATTTATTTAGTTTGTTTGTTTATACATGCACTGGGTACAGTCAGAAGCGCGGGAGGGTGAGAGAATTCACCAGAGCAGGGAGCAGAACAGGCAGAAGGACCGAAGTACACTGCTGAGGGGAGCAGTGGGAGGCAGGAGAGCTCTGCGCGCCATGTGGGACCCTCCTCCGGTGACCGGGGAGCAGCCGGGGATCGAACCGGCGCCGCAGAGGCTGCGGGCAGCTTCGCAACCCAGCGCTCAACCACTGCGCCACAGAGGCCAAAGATCTCAAAGATCTTAAAGCAATTTGGAGACATTCATATAGTAAATTCCCTTCATCTACCAAAGGAAATATGAGCATCTCTGAGGCAGAGCAGCTGCTTAATGGTTACAGAGTGTATTACACAACAGTTTAAACCAGGAAGATTAGAACAACTCTGCGTTTATGTGATGCTGTATTTACACTACATGTATGCTTTTTAAAAAATAAAATTGAGTAGGAAATAGACTTCTGCAAACTGAAAACTCTCAAAGGCAATATCAAATTATATTATTTCAGTTTCCTTTTTTATTTTTCCCTAACAAAAGCAACAATAAATCACTACTCAGAAGTTAATATAGTGTTTAACCTCTTTCACAAACAATAACAGAGGGACACAATGGCATATCTAACTGTTAATATCTCAAATTATAATCAGCACCATTTGAGTGTTAAACAACATTTACATAGAAAATCCAAAGGAAGGCTGATAACACTCATTTTTATAGTCTACTGTGTTCTATTCTTGAAATTAAAAAAAAAAATAAAGCCAGAGAAAGCAGTTATTAAATTCATGAAAGCTGTCTTCAAGTATTTGAAGGACTGTTAATGTAGATGGTGGATTAGACTTTCTGCATAGTTCTAGGAACTGTTATTTTTGCTCAATAAACAGATTTCTCATCCAATAAAAGACAGAAAGGAATGTGTAACCTCACAAAGGTAATAATAACCAGCCCATACCAAGCTACTATGGGTGCTAAGGTCTTTAAAAGTATTAATTCACATAATGCTCATGATTACCCTACAAATTTTCATGTCATTGTTGCCACTGTATAGATGAGGATCTTGCATTTATAATGGCAAAGATTTTCCCAAAGTCTTTAAAGACCCCTGTCAAAGTTAAGAATGCTCACTTTGATTATGAAATCGGGTTAAGAGCACTTCCAAACTACTGGAACCCTCAGATTTCACTGGGCTTTTACTGTGTTAGTCTAGTTTTGGTTTATTTTTTTTAACTGTATTTTTTAATTTTAACATCTCTGTTTTCCTATGTTAGCTTTCCTGCACTGCTCATTTGGTGAATGAATAGAACACTGGGTATCTCACATACATTTGCCAGCCCTATGGTTCCAATTATTCACTTGCTTCAGCACAGTGTAAAAAAATGCCTAAATCCTTTGGCTTGGGGGTACAAGGGGGAAGAGGTTGAAATTATTTCACCATAGTTTTGTGCCAAATGTCATTAATTTCAGCTATCATAACTAATCCATTGGTGACTTTCTGGAAGTTATAAGACCTGTTTGGCTCTACCTTCAATTTGTCAACTGATCTGAACTGTCATGGTTAAGGTTGGAAACTATGATTATGAAATAGACATAATCATTGCAAAGATAATGATTCTCTCCACAGAAATGGAACTTCAGCTTATAACTGAGATTAACATTAATTTAAAATTAATTTTATCCTTCAATATGAAAAGTAAATCCCTGAGGGTGAAGGATAAGGCAAAGAGTCAAAAATTTCCTGACTTTAACACACTCTAATAGTGTTACATTAATATGTTATTTGTATTTTTTAATATTTTTCCAGTTCTTGAAACATTTTCCCATAGACATAAATATATGTAAATATGCATTTTTATAAAATTGAGATAATCTTAAAATAAATTCATAGCATTTTTCCCAATTAGCTTTGCATCTTTCCCTTTAGCTTAAATAGTTTTTCAAAAGCATGATTTTAATGACGATAAAATATTACATTGCATGGTTGTATCATATTTATTTGACCATTCTCCTATTATTTGGCATTTTAGGTTATTTCCCATTTAAAAAAATATTATAAACAGAGCTGCCATTAACATCCTCATACACAAATCTCTGTCAGCAATTCTCATGATTTCCTTAGGATGGAGTTCCCAGAAGTGGAATAACTGGGTCAAAGGACATAAACTCGTTTAAAGCTCATGGTAAAAACTGTCAAGCTGCTTTCCATAAAGGTTTTGCCAATTTTTATTCCTCAGGAAGATCACGAGCATGTCCATGTTACTACCTTGTTGCTAGAATTAAGTATCAGTAGAGATTTCTTTTAACTGTGTTAATGGATAGTGGAAAGATATTATTGCATTGAAATGATTACTTTCATATTCAATCAAAATAAAATTGGA